TGAATGCAATCCAAACCTAACCAAACTCAATAAAAGCTCCTTATCTCTATTTTAGGATATATGTCATTAGCTCACAAAAGATTAATTTCTCCATTCATATTTTAATTCTCTTTCTCAGAAAAAAAATAAAATTGTGGAATTTTTGAAATACTTTTTCTTGCTTAATTAAATGTTGTTTCCTGTCAACAGGAAGAGAATAATTTGCAAGCTGTAAATGATTTTTAGATTTTTGCAATTATTCTTTCTAAAAACAAAAAGGTAGTAGTCCAAGTTAAGTGTCATCTGTGTTTATTTATGTGCAAATAGTCTTTAAGAAAGGCATTTTAAAAGAAATGTGGTGGTTCACAACTGTAATGCCAGCTACTCTGGAGCAGGAGTTCAGGGGGATCTCCATTAAAAATCAGTTCCGAGTTGGGTGCTACTGGCTCACACCTGTGATTCTAACCAATGAGGAGACTGAGATCTGAGGATCGCAGTTCAAAGCCAGCCCAGACAGGAAAGTCCAAGAGACTCTTATCTCCAATTAACTACCAGAAAACTGGAGGTGGTGCTGTGGCTCAAAGTGGTAAAGCACTTGAACTAATCTTACATTAATCTATAAAGTAAAGTGAAAAGCACTTGAATGAAAAAGCTCAGGAACAGTACCCAGGACTGGATAAAAGCAAAATCAGTTCAGAAAAAGTTAGTGAGAACTTTGTCTTGCTGTCTCAAACAAGGTGCAGAATGCTTCTAATCCTCAAACAAAGTATAAGGTCTGCCAATGTCAGCCAATGGAAAAAGTGTGAAACCTTATCTAAAAAGTAACTAAAGCAAAAAAGGTGGAAGTATGACTCCAGCAACTCAATGCTTGCCTACCAAATTCAAGGTCCTGAGTTTAAATCCTAGTACGACCATTTTTTTGTGTGAAAGAAATAGTCCTTTGAAATTACAGAAACACAATCCTACATTAATCTGTTAAAAAAAAAAAGGTGAAAAGTCAACATAAAGATTAGTCCTTCACACAGTAGGTCTTCTGTAATTATGTTGATTATGTTTATAAGAGGAAAAACTAATTAATAAGCTTTCTAAAAACAAATGCATGTAAGGGAAACAAGCGCAGTCTTTTTTTTTTCGGTCCAGTCATGGGGCCTGAACTCTGGGCCTGGGCGCTGTCCCTCAGCTCTTCAGCTCAAGGCTAGCACTCTACCACTTGAGCCACAGCGCCACTTCCGGCTTTTTTCTTTTTGCTTATGTGGTGCTGAGGAATCAAACCCAGGGCCTCAGGCATGCAAGGCAAGCGCTCTACCATTGGGCCACCTTCCCAGCCCCAACAAGTGCATTCTTAAAGCATTCTCTAAAAGGTAGCTCCATAAAGTGTTGCAGAAGTAAATACAGTACACATGTTAAAATCTTAATTCACCAGACCAAATTTACTCCCAATCAGATATGTCCATTTTTTTGTGTAAGGAAAGAAGGATCTCACACAATACTGTAGCATGAATTGTTTCAGAAACAAAAGCCTTTACTATTCATTTTAAATAAATGTTCAAATTAACAAGCTTTCCATAGTTACATAGGAAAAGGTTCTATTGCCCCAAGAGATACAACAAAAGGAATCACTTAGAAAATATCTACAAATTACAGCTTCTATAAATTTTATCTTAAAACCTGACATAACTAGTTTTAATCAAATCTAATTTTATTAATATGCATTTTCCATTTTAAAAATGCTGACACACATAAAACCATCTCCTAAGAATATCCTCATCAAGTTAGCAAAGAAGAAATTACATGGGGTTGTTTTAAATCTAATCTGGTTGGGTTCAAATCCAATCTTTGTTAATTAGTACCTTTACAAGCTTGGCAACTTTTGTTTAACCGTATCTTGCCTGCTTCCTTGCTTATAAAGCAACAGTGCCACATTACAATGCCAGGACTTGATAACTAACTGAATACAATGAGAAGAGAGGAATTACAGGCAATCAAGAGCCATCTATGCAGCATAAGGAAATGGAAAGGGTAATAAAGAGTTGGAGCAACCAAGAGATGACAAGTTACATTTGGGCCAGGAGAGCCAGAGACACAGACAGACAATGGACAATCAGAAATGTGGGTTAAGACCCAAGATAGAAGATAATCCACTGAGATTACACTAGAAATTATTGGTATGGCTAACATCAACACTTATTTTCAATATATTTTATAAAATGTTTAGTTCAAGGAGCTGGGAAGGTGGCTCAGTGGTAGAGCGCTTGTCTTGCATGCGTAAGGCCCTGGGTTCGATTTCCCAGCACCACATAAGCAAAAAGAAAAAAAAGCCGAAGTGGCACTGTGGCTCAAGTGGTAGAGCACTAGCCTTCAGCTGAAGAGCTGAGGGACAGCGCTCAGGCCCAGAGTTCAAAAAAAAAAAAAAATGTATAGTTCAAAATATATCCAGATATAAAAACTTAAAAAGAAAATCACATTTATAAACTTTTTAACTCTCCTAATATTACTGACAGAATACTACTTATCATATGTCTGTCATCTGTCTGAAAATTTAAAAGATGAAAGTAATAAACCATCTGAATTAGAGCCCAATGATGATGATTATGGGGATGATGATGATAAAATCCTATGTAACATTCCACATGTTAGAAATATTAACATTCTATATGATTCCCCTCTGATAATACCATAATTTTAAGGCAAAGATCCCATCTTCAGGAAAATCAAAAAAATATGAGTTTCCAGCTTTACTTTTCATCTCAAATCTATCTGGTGAAACTCCTTTTGTGCCTTGGTTTTTAATCAATCTTGCAGTGACAAGGACATAAACACTATGAAATTGTGCCAGACTTTCCTAGCTTTGCTCTCTTTAGGCAATCTCACTAAATGATGCATACACTTCCTTCTACATTTACTATTAACTTATTTCACTTTCAACTAAATTGGAATGGGTAGCTTCTCCTTGTCCACTGCTATAAATTTCTTCTAAGATCGAAACTATTCAACAACAACAGAAGCCATAAGAGATCTACAAATGGAGTACAAGAAAGATAAGTCATTCACCAAGTGAGCTGCCTGGAATACTTCTGGGCATTCCTTCTGGCTCTAAGCAGGCTCCCAGGGGGCCTTGGCTGGCCTTGCCTCCTAGAACATCACAAGTGTGCACAGGTGAAAGAGGACAGAACAGAGTGTACATTTAAGCTGCATCCTTCCTTCTCACTTTCTCACCAACTTGTACTTTCTCATTCCTTTCATAATTCTCAATTCTTCCTTTTAGTTTGAATTGAAATCACTCAAGAGCCAAACTTAGCTTTCATGAAAGAGTATGCCATTATTAAATTTGTTTTACTTAAACTTATTTCATGATCATTTTCCCCTTCCATGTTTCAACCCCAGTCTGTACACACTGCTAATTCCCCAAGAGCAAAACCTGTCTTAAAAGCATGGTAGATTGTCACCAAACATAAAGTGCTGCCTAGATTCTTTTATAACACATCCACGATAAGGAAAGCAATTCAGGAAGTCCAAATCTTGGTGAAAATCCAAATGACACAAAATCTCAGCTCAGCTCTGCCTAAGTAGTGCTCCTAACAATACTCTACCTTCCAGAACACCCACAAAAATTCTAATGCTTCAGTATGTGTAGCAAAACAAAGAAGACAATGAAGATTGAAGATAACTTGAAATCTATATTTCTTCATTCTGATAGATCAATCTCCCTCTCCCACAACTACAGGAGTATTAAATAAAAAAATCCTTTCCTGTGAAGTTTTCGTAGGAAACACCACCCTTTTACTAGGCCTAGCACCACGTTCACTGAAGAGCAATCCTTCAGGACTAAGTCTAAGGCTTTACACCATAAAAACTAATGTTGACTGTTTTTGAGAAATGGGAAGGGAGAGAAAAGAAATTAGAACATTGAACTATAGAGCCTACCTCTATCTTACACATATAAATTTGAACAGAGTAGAGGTTCATCTTTATTTTTGGCATGAAACAACTACTCCCCAAGTTTGGACACAGAGGATGCATATTCAACTCTTAAGTGTTCAGATCTGCATGGTCCAAGACAGTGGTCACCTGCCACATTTGGCTACTGAGCAACTGGAATGGGACAAGTGAGAAAACAGCCAAATGCAAGAGAGGCTGGAAACATGGCTCAGGTGACAGAACACCTGCCTAGGAAGCACAGGCTGAGTTCAATCCCCAGTACTGAAAATAAATAAATGAAAATAAAAATAAAAAGATTAGGACAAAAATAATATTGGTGATTTCTTAATATTAGTTATGTGATGAATGACATTATTTGGATATATTAGAATAATTACAATTTATTAAAGTTTATATAAACTATTTCCCTTTGCTCTTCTAACTGTACCTACAGAGATTTTTAAATTCTCCTGTGGCTCACATCTGAACAGTGGTAATCCAGACTAACAATAAGAGAATGTATAATGCAAACACATGGAATAGTAACTAAAAATTTCAGCCAAAAGCAGGACCTGATTGTCAAGGGTCCTTCAAAAATTCCCAACAGGACTGGGAGAGCCACAGAATTACCTTTGATCTCTAGATTAGGAACAGAGGCTGAGAAAGGGGAAAACACTCATTTAAATTAGAGCTGGTAATGGGAAGGCCAAACTAAGCCAGAGTCAGATAAATTCTAAAAGCATGAATGAGTAAACTCTCCTTACTCTCCCTCCAGTCTCTCAGAGGAACTCTTTCCAGGTTCTAACAGGCTTATAGAAGAAGACCTAATTCTTTATAAGCCCAACCTTCTGACCTATTTATCCTAGCCACTAAATCACAGCTGAGAGAAGAGGATGCAAGAGAGATAGAAATCTCAGAGCAATTATCAGAGGGGCAGCCCAAAAAGTTATTTACTTCAGGTATAAAGAATCAAATTTTTGCTTTTGCAATTCATGCTTCTCACCTCTGCCAGTATAAATCACAACAGGAATTTAGTAGGAAAGCACTGGTTATGAGCTCATTCATTGGAGCAAGTGGATTTCAGCTGTTAGATATTAGCTTACTTAGTCTCTTAGCAGCCTCCAGCGCTTCATTTGCAGTGTTTGCTACAAAGAATCTTTGGACTCTCACTCCATGCTCAGACATCAGCTTCTTGCTCTGGTATTCCTGAAGGTTCAGCCATCTTCTGGAGGTTAGCTGAATTGCCTAGAAAGAGGCAGGAATACTTATTAATAACAATAAAAGTAACAATCAACCTATATGGCAATTCTTATACGTACAATCAATAGGCAGTAAAATAGGTTATATGCCAATGAATAGGTTACAGGCCAAAAGGATCTAGATAAATTCTTTAATCAAAAATATTAAAACAACCATGCATATGCAAAATAATGTAGAAAAAAAATAAAATGCTAGTAAAAATGGACTAAGTTCTATAGTACAGCTAATAGGAACACACTAATGCAAATGTCCTAGTTTTAATGCTAGAATTAGAACTATACACTCTATATCTAAGATGCAAAGTGGTACATGGGGCTGTTACACATTTATTTCAGCTGTCTATGAATCTCCAATTCTAAACCAGAAATTATTTTGAAAATCTTATTACACAGTCTATAACTGCCCAGGCCCCAAATAGTTAAAGCATGCAACATTACTTTAATCTGTGTCCGTACTATTAATCACTGCAAAGTATCTCCAGAAAACCATTATAACTCTCTGAGTTTACTGGGCCTCAGCCTAATCCACTTCTTTACCATAGTTTCGTAGATATACTCATTTTGAGTCTAACGATATCTTCTCTTTATTACACCAAAGGTTACTAAAATGATCTGAAAGATTCTCTGGCAATTGGACTAATTCTTAAACTATAACTTGCATATTATAGTAGTCCAATTTAAGTAGAGGTGGATATTTTCCAATATGCACTATCAATCACTTTTTGGTTTCTCTTGAAATAATAGCCAAAATACAGGACTATATAAGAAAATAAATTGCTGTTTTTGTTTTATCTAATAATATTAATATTTCCTAATGAATCAACAAACAATTTTTAAAGAAAAATAACAGGAAAAAAGTGAATACACTAGCCCGGCGCCGGTGGCTCACGCCCGTAATCTTATCTACTCAGGAAGCTGAGATCTAAGGATCATGGTTCAAAGCCAGCCCAGGCAGGAAAGTCCATGAGACTCTTATCTCCAATAAACCACTAGAAATCTGGAAGTGGCACTGTGTCTCAAACGGAGAGCGCTAGCCTTGAGCTGGAGTGCAGGATAGCGCCTAAGCCCAGAATTTCAGCCCCAAGACTGACCCAAAAAAAAAAAAAGTGACTACACTAAGTTACACTTGCTTCCATCCATAAATCATGATGCAAAGGAATTTGCAAGAGATAGGGTATTGGAACCATTAATGCACACTAAAACTTCAGTCTATATAACTGGATTACAAGACTATGGATAATCACCTTGTACCCACCCAGCAGCTTCATCAATTGTCTCTATGTATTCAATGGCAATACCAGGTACACCATACATAGTACTGAGACCTCAGCCCTTCAGGACTTAAGCTTGCAGGACCTCCAACATGCAACTGGTTTTCAAATCTCCAAGTTACAATGCACTCATGAGTTCTTTTCAACAAGGGATGAAAGAAGCTACAGAAACACAACTAGACTGAGTAAATCTTTTCTGCATTTTTAAGGATACCTCATTTAGCATACAGAAAATATGTACTTATGAAAATTCAACTTTTATATGAACAGGCCTATAAATAGGTCTTCCATCCATCCACATACATATATATGGTAATACCATATATATGATAACATATATATGGTATATAACATATATATACTATATAAATATGTATATATATGGTAATGGTGTTTTTTATATGGAAGCTGATTGCAAAGATTTTTTAGATATATTACTAGGCCAAAAGTAAAGTACAAGACAAGCAATGCTCACATTACCTACAGTATTATTATTCATTAATTGGGGGGTTAGTTAGTTTTTTTAAGTCTTAATGAAATATTAATAACTTGAAAAACAAAATGTAATAAAAGTTCATAGGCTTAATGATATAAGCAGCATGCCAAACAATACTCCAGAAAAACAAAAGTTTACAGTGTTACTAAAAAACCCTCTAATGAAAGAAAATATTAAAGGTTCTATGCATGCTACTATGTAAGATCCCCTTTAAAAGGCAAATGGGAAGATCAATACATCAAGTCGGTGTTGATGTACCAATTCAAAGCCATTACCAAAGAAAAAAATATAATTTGAAAAACACATCTGAGAGAGACGAAACACAGCCACCCGTGTGGTCATGGTCAATTCCTTTTCATTAGAGCACTCTCTGTATTAATTTTAGATATGTTAATGTAATCTGCTGCAAACTAATTGCAATTGATCCAGAGACCAGCTTCATAGACCTATAATACATATTGACTGTTTCTACATTTCTCAAATGAAAGTCAGCTTAGAGTCTGTTGCTCTTAGATTGAAAAGAAAGACAATGGAGCCTAGTTCTTAAAGCCAGTGCTGATATCCATCCAATCATCCCACAACGTAATCTCTTCTCATAGAATCATCACCTGTTTGCACTCAATCTAAAACTTGGAAGAGAAGGGTCACTGACTAGGTCTAAACTTCACTAAGCCAATGCTACTTATTAAGAATTTGTGCTCAATTTTTACTATAGCCAAGATAAGGAATCAAACCAGATGCCCCTCAGTGGACAAATGGATCAAGATAATGTGATGCATATACATAATGGAATTCTATGCTGCCATCACAAAGAATGATATTATACCATTAATAAGGAAATGGAAAGACTTGAAAAAAATTATATTAAATGAAGCAAGCCAGACCCAAAGAAATATAGGTTGCACAGATTCCCTCATTTGTGGTAATTAGAATGTGCTTATAAATCTACAAATACACACAATGGATGGTAAAAGACAAAAAAATTACATTTGGATATGATAAACAGGACTCTAAACAGTCACACAGTGAGACCAAAGGAGAATATTCTTAGGGGAGGATCACAAAGGCTCAATAGCTATTTGCATATGATCATATATAATGATGTTTATCAAATGAACACAAAGAAATGGAAACAAGTTTTTGTTATTTTGCTTTTTTTTGTTTTGGTCATTATTTTCTTTGTTGCTGTTTTTGATTTCTGTGCCTTTTGTCTTGTATGTAAGTTTATCTGGGAGATAAAGCTGGCCTGGTCTACCTCTCCTAGGGCTCAAAGAAGATACCTGCTGGTGTCAATTTATGTAGCCTCCCCAACTACTCACTGTTAACAGCTCTAACAACCTGTTAGTAAAATTTTCCCCTTGTTAAAATCTACTAAATGGTCTGGTAGAAAGTAAATCCTCTTGATTGTACCCTAATACACACAGTGCTTTCCAGAGCCTAATGGGGTCAGAAGAGAACTGCCCGGTCCCCACTTTTACTAGGGAGACTTTTGGATACTGAACAGCGAAGTTTCCCAGCCAGGTATAAAAAGTGCACTGGATTCTAACCACCTCACCTTATAACCAGAAACCTTGTGAAAGAGAGGAAGTGGCTTGCCCAGGATCATCTAAGCAGAAGACGGAAGCTGAAACTTGGAATGATTCCTATTTTCTTCTGTCTTTCCTTCATATTGGCTTGGGATAGGTAGGCACCTAGACTTAGCTCCCTTTACACTTGCAGAGTTACCTGTTCCTTGTTCTCTCCCCTTCTGCCTCTCTTTGATAGAGAAAGCATTTCCTTAGATAGAGAACGGGGAAATACAACTTAAAAGCAGCACATAAGGATTTAAGAGCCTATGGGATCTCAGGACCAGAGGCAGAAGAAAAAGAATGAAAAATAAGGGGAATGACAAAGAACCAACAGATTAAAAAAAGACAATGACTAAGCGGACAAACATTCACAAAGAAACTCAAAGCACAAAATTAGACCGCTACCCAGAAAAATATGACAAGATCTAGAAATTACTCTTCGCCCCATGGTTTTAAAATTAGAAGTGTAGAGATGACTGAAATAGCACCACCGAGAAGTAAGGGGGGTAGGGAATCAATAAAGGCAGTATAGAAAATGGTATGCCATTGAGCCAGGTGCCCCACAGAGGGAAAATCTGTGAGCAGCATCTCCCCACCCACTCTGTACCTAGTGTCTTCAGCAGGCTTTGGCCTAGAAGTCCTGCCTGAAAGGCAGTTTTAAAAATAAGGAAATCAGAAATTCAACAAACAGACGGGCCATTATGTCAAAAGGAATAAAAACACTATTAGGGAGAAATGGAGTAATGTTACCATCACTGCTGAAGTTATGGTGATGCATGCTGTTTCATACAATTGCCCAGCCTCAGAACATACTCACACAAATACCTTCAAGAATAACAGCTCAACGTGGTAGCTCATACCTAAAATCCCAGCACTAGGAAGACTAAAACAGTGAGATCATGAGTTAAAATCCAGATAAAAGCCTAATTTAGTAACATTTATGAAAAGACCTGGAAAGTTCACTTCTCCATGTGTCTCCCTCACAAAACAAGTGCAAGTTTTGCGAAGAACCTTGTATAATGTTGTTAATGACAAATCAGCAAACCTAGCAATGATCAAAATGTCCACTACATAGGACACTGTCTACATAAACCATAATATGTTCGAATTACAGATGGTCCCAGAGTTACAATGATTCCACTAACTAAATTCTCAGCTTGAAGATGGTAATACAACAACAACAAAAAAAAAACACCTTTGTTTTTCATTGTAGTAGTCAACAAATCATAAGTACTTTCTTATAAAATAGGCTTTATGTTAAAAATAAATGAACTTGCACAACTGTAAGTTAACATGTTGAAATCTACATTTATGTATGTACACTGAGATAGGATTTTTTTATATTTTCATTTTATAGTAAATGTACTGGAATGTGATTCCATGGTAAGTCAAGAACTATCTGTAAAGGAAGAATTTTTAAGATCCGTGGTGGCACAGGATCACCCAGTTCCCTGTGTTCCCCCACATTTCTAAATTCTCTGTAGTTAGCACACCAGAACACCTAAAAAACACACACACAACACTCCAGAATCCTTTCTGTGTCAACCTGAAAGCCACAAGTGGAGATGATGAAATAAAAAGGTTGAAGGTACCTCAGTTATTGAGTTACTACAATCGCCCAGAGGTCACCCTGTCTAAATTTTAATAAATG